AAATTATTTTTTATTATTTTATAAAATAAAAAATACTAAAATTTATTACCTATTACCTTAGCTATTCAGTTTAGGGATGAAAATACAAAATGTAATTACTATTTATTAAGGGAATTGTTATTGGCACTTCAAAAATCTCATTATACAATTCAAACTTTCTATATTTGAAAAGAAAAAATACAAAGGATGTAAAATGAGATTTTTGGAGTTCCAATAACATTTCGCTTTATTAAAGCCAATTATTATTCACGGGAGGGAATACAATGGCCAATTGCCAATTATTAAACACGCTGGAATTGCTCTAATAACCTTCACGTGCGACTATTTCACCTTCTCTACTCTTCATCTTCTTCTCCTTCTTCTGCATTGTTGCGTTCCTCAACTCCTCCAACCAAAATTACACACAGAGATCCGAGGAGTTTGGGAAAACCTTAGGCCTGATTTGGTAGTGAGGTGATTCTGAAAAAAACTGGTATAAAAAAAAGCTGAGAGCTTTTTTGTGTTTGGTAAACATTCAGCTTCAGCTTTTTTTCACAGTTTTTTGTGAAAAAAAAGCCAAAAACAAGAAGTTGCAAAACTCAGCTTTGATAAACCGACTTTTTTTCATATCTGTTTTACATAAAAATTTACCAAATACTATAATACTGCCTTTTTTTTTTCAAAAGCATTTTTACAAAAAAATTTACCAAACACTCTACAACTTTATTTCACAACCGCTTATTCTCAAAGCACAATAGAAGCAGTTTTTTTCCAAAGCACAGCAATACCAAACCAGCCCTTAATCTTAAATCAATCGCACACCCCCGTCATCAAAACGCATCACTTCGTCCAACTCCCAACTGCTATCAGGTTCCATCTGTTTTTATGTATTTAATTCCTTTTTATAAGCTAATTTAGTCATGCTCTCGCTGAATTTCTCGACCTTTTTGCATATCATTTTTTTATTCGTAGTGGATAGATTGGATGTATATTCATATGTGATTGTTATTGATTTGGGTTTTTCTTTTGCGCCAAAAGATGGAAACTTTTGCAGAAATTGTATGAACTGCTTAACATTGCGGTTTCAGATTAAGGGATCTCATTTTATTGTTGGTATTGAATTTGATTTTTCAAGATTCCCAGAAAAAATAATCATAAGAAATGAAGGTTCCTGTATAAAAAGTTTGATTTGGAGAAAGGATGCAGCTTTCAGTTTTAAGATGATGGAAACACTTAAATGCGATTACTGTATAATTTGAGTGAGATTAAATCAGAAATGTGCGTTACAATTGGAAGCGTGATGTCTCGTGGTTGATATTTTCAGTTATGGCTGCTGTGGCACCGGAAGGATCCCAATTTGATGCTCGTCAGTATGATGCTAAAATGAGTGAGTTGTAAGTTTCCTCCCTCCCTCTCTCGTACTCTTCTTTGATTCCTATATTCGGTGTTTTCACACGCTACGTATTTTGTGTTGCCAATTATAAAGATTTATTTTTGTTTTGTTGAACTGATGGGGCCAGACTCGGAGGTGACTGGCAAGAGTTTTTCACATCGTATGATGAGGTTCATGACAGCTTTGACGCTATGGGATTGCAGGAGAACCTTCTTCGAGGCATCTATGCATATGGTAAATCAAACAACGCTACATTTGTTTTCTTGGGAAATTAAGAGTTTCCGAGTATGGTACTTTTCAAAACCTGTTGGGAAATTTTTGGCTGGACTTGCCTGATCAGGTGATATTAGTTTTTCAGCGTGTTAGGGAGATACAAGTTTATAACTCCATTTTGCATCAATTGAGCTTCGCGTTGTGTGTGTAATTGTACGAGTATTTTTTTATATGGAAAATGAAGAGTTGGTCTCATATTTTAGGTTGTGACTTGTAAGATTGTTTACGCGAGAAGTGAATGGTGTGTCCTTTGCTTGAAGTGAAATGCTATACCATTTACCACTGCCTCTTCTCTATTTACACACACACTTATTCATATGCTTGTTGTTGGTACTACGAATGCAAGTCATCCTTGTAGTAGAATGGAAAGCTGATAGATGGTCCAAACTTTTTCTTAAGGTTTTGAGAACCCCTCTGCAATTCAGCAAGGGGGAATTGTTCCTTTCTGCAAGGGACTTGATGTGATTCATCCGGCACAACTGGAACTGGAAAAACAGCGACATTCTGCTCTGGGATTTTGCTGCTGCTTGATTATGGCTTACTTGATTGCCAGGCATTAGTTCTTGCACCCACACGCGAACTTGCTCAACAGATTGAAAAGGTTATGAGAGCACTGGGTGACCATCTTGGTGTCAAGGTTCATGCTTGTGTTGGTGGGACCAGTGTTTGTGGAGATCAACGCATTCTCTCCCATGTCGTTGTTGGCACTCCTGGTCATGTATTTGACATGCTACGAAGGCAGTCTCTTCGTCCTAATTACATTAAGATGTTTGTGTTAGATGAATCAGATGAAATGCTTTCACGAGGTTTCAAGGATCAGGTCCTTAATTTCCTTTTCATTTGTATTCTGTTTCTTCTGTGTGCCGATGCTTCTTGCTACAAAAAATGAGTTTGGTGATTTTTCAATATTAAATTTTCGTTTAGTTTGCGTGCTATTTTGGTTAAGTGGTGATTGTACCAACAATCCCATTTCATGTTTTCAGATCTATTACATTTTCCAGCTGCTACCACCGAAAATCCAGGTGGGGGTTTTCTCTGCCACAATGCCACCAGAGGCCCTTGATATTACTAGGAAGTTCTTAACAAACCTGGAAGGATTTTGGTGAAATGTGACGAGCTCACCCTTGAAGGTATCAAGCAGTTTCATGTCAATGTTGCGAAAGAGGATTGGAAACTGGAGACACTTTGTGATCTTTATGAGACCTTGGCAATTACCCAGAGTGTCATCTTTGTGAACACCAGGCGCTAAGTTGATTGGTTAACAGACAAGATGCGCAGCCGTGATCACACAGTTTCTGCCACCCACGGAGACATGGACCAAAACACGAGAGATATTATCATGAGAGAGTTTCGGTCTGGTTCTTCTCGTGTGCTCATAACCACTGATCTCTTGGCCCGTGATATTGATGTCCAGCAGGTCTCTCTTGTGATTAATTATGACCTTCCAACACAACCGGAGAACTACCTCCATCGTATTGGTTGTAGTGGGAGGTTTGGGAGGAAGGGTGTTGCCATCAATTTCGTCACCAAGGACGATGACAGGATGTTGTTTGATATCCAGAAGTTTTATAATGTTATCATTGAGGAACTGCCGGCAAATGTTGCTGATCTGCTCTAAATAAGGTTTTGCATTGGTTTTGGTAAATTGGCTTTGAAATTTCGAAGCCGTATTTATTTTCTTGTAGGTCTGGGGGCGATTCTTTAGCATGGTTTACTTGGAACTGGGGTATTCCCGTTTCAGGTGTGGAAAAAACGACTTGAAAGTTTTTGGTCGAAATTTTTGTTGCGTGTTTTTTGTAATTTTAGTATGTAAGACGGTTTTGCAGCATTAAACTGTTCTATGTCTGGTTCTTGAGATGGAATATTACGTTGGAGTCATAGAAACTTCTCGACAGATTGATGCAGTTTTGACTTTTGAGATTTGTTTGTTTGTGTTGTGAAGGGATCCTTATCCACAACCAGATATATATCCTCATGTATTTACAACGTCGGAAGTGCAGATATTGCTCGAGCAAAATGACCCAAACGTAAAAGGGTTGAACTCATAATTAAAGACAAAAGAAGAATAAGGTTCTTTGTTTTTTTTAGTTGAAGTCATTGTGAAAAAGAAAACTTGGGGATTGATGTGAATTAAAAGGAGGAAAAGAATAAAAGGAGGAAAAGGTTGATGAGGTTCCTCCTATTTATACCATGTTTTTGTACCACATTTTCATATCATCTTATGTGTCATTTAATGTGAACAACCATATCATTTGAATTAATCAGATTTTTAAATTTAATTCATTATTTAATAAACTAATAATTAAAAAAAACTAGTTAATTAAATGAAAATTATGGTATACGATGAGTCTTTCTCCTTCATTCTTTGGGTTTTGCAAATTTTTCAAATGATGTGGTTATACACATCAGATGCTTGGTATAAAAATGTGGTATAAAAATATGGTATGAATAGCATTACTCTATAACAAATAATTGTTGACAACTCTTACAACAAATAGTGTGGCTATTGAAAGTTGAGCGTCTTAAATATTGTAGGTTTACGGATGGATGATGAGCATGATAAGTATTCCAATTCATCCGTATTTACAAACACATGAAATTTTAAATAAAATATGGGTTGTACATTCAAATGTGTAACCGATTATTTGAAAAATCAGGAATGAAATCAACTAAAGAAGGCAACTTGATCCCACACCTTTTTCTTCTTTCTCTTGCGCTTCAATTATTTTATGATTTTATCCATTCTATTATTGTGTGTCTAGCGTTCCTCAAAATTCTGTTTTTGATTAAAAATTAACAACTATTCTATTTGTGTATATTTCCTTGGGAATTACTTCATGTTGAAACATATTCAAATTTGAAATAACTTTTGGATTCTTAAAAAGTGGTGCTTTACACACACTTATTTTTATTTTTTTTTACATTTTTGTTAATTTTATTATTTAATTATTTTCAATTCATTTAGTCTAACGAGTATAATATATAAATTCATTTGATCAGATGACCACAAATAAGAACAAAACTAGTTTCTTCATAGCATAAAATTGAGTTGTAAGGCACATTTCAAAAAATAAGCCTTCATTCCTTTATGCATAAAATTCATCTTTTTCTTGGTCGACAGATAAAAAATAGGAAGTCTTAACGAAACATTTCTGGTACTGTTTACTTTTAACGTTAATTATATTTTTACTCTAAAAAGTCATTTATAATACTATTCACTTGCAATACATTTTTATCATTTTAATTAAAACTCAAAGTTTTCAAAAAAAATTTCATTCATTTTTCTTAAAAATAAATATTAGCAAACATTGTCGCAGACAGACAACATGATTCCCCGCGAAACACGCCATCTGGAATCACTCATAAGGTCAGCTTTTACCCAATAAAAAAGTTTGAAAAAAATGAAATCCAAACAAAACATCTCTCTATAGTCTTTTGCTATTACTTTTCTTCTTCATCTGCCACAAATCCAAACCCATCAAACGGTTTGAAAGCTCTCTCTGTCACCATGGAAGAAGACTACAGCAGATCAAGGTCTTCGTACGGCGGCGGAGGGAATAATATGCAGGTGGTAAACTACTATGGTCGCCCAACGAGGCCGCCACCCACCACTTCCTCCTATGAGCTGAGGAGCTACAGTGCTTCATATGCACAAACCCAGATGGCTAATCATAATTATAACTACAACAACAGGGAGCTGAAAAAAGGGAAAAGCATTTCTGGGTCGTCTTCCAGTTGGGGGATCCTGGCTGATCCGGAGTTGCAGAGGAAGAAGAGGGTTGCGAGCTACAAGATGTATTCTGTGGAGGGGAAGATGAAGGGCTCGTTCAGGAAAAGCTTCAGGTGGCTTAAAGATAAGTACACCCAAGTGCTTTATGGCTGGTGGTGATTAATAAGTGCTTTTTTTTGTGGGTAATATTTAGCTTTTGTTCTATTTCTAAGTCTTGAATTGAGTTTATGGTTGTGATCGTATAAAAAAAAAACATGATTTGGGTTTGGTGCAAGTTAATATACGGGACTGAATCGTAAATTGGATGGTCTTGTTTCTGGTTTTGAATCAATTTGTCACCTTTTATAAATATCCGTACTGTTCTCGTTAAAAGTTAAACGCTTTGAGGTACGCTGAGCGTACTTTGTGGACTACTTGTTTGGAGATATTGATATTTATCACCTTCAAATTGGTTCAGGAGTTTGATTCTCTGTTCTGGTGTGAGGTTTTATGTACTATGTAAATCTGGATGTTCTAATTTTTTTCCCTTTCCTTTCATATTTAGCCTTTTTGTTGTGTGCCTCACTTTGCAACCTGCAACCTGATAGGTGCTAAAAAATCATTGTTCATTTTTTTGACCAGTGTCGAAAAACTTGCCTGAATTTGGTAACCTGAAATGGTGGTTCTTACCAAACCTTATGCATCAGCATATTTTTTTTGGTCAATACTTATGCATCAGCATATTAAGCAATAATCTTGCTTGATTACTACGATTTTGTTTGGAATCCTTTCCGGAAGGGCAAGAAGCGCTTTTTGATAGGCAAAAACTCTTTTGATTTTATTTGGCAGAAAACTTAGAAGTGCTTATGTCTCACATAACGTGTTAATAATCAAAAGTACTTTTAGTATAAGCACTTATTAGCAGAAGTGTTTTATAGAGAAGCAACTCCAAAGGGCTCTAAGCATCATCCATGGCTGTTTCAGTGTTTCTAGAGAAAGATGTGACTGCCACATGAGTGTAATATGAATCTGAGGTTATATCTCCGGTTGTATGCAAGATTCTCACCAATTTCTATTGTGAATGATTTTTAGCCATTGGGTTGGTTGACTCCTCACAAGACCAAGTATTTTTGTGGTTGAGATGATTTTAGGAGCAAGACCAACCTATGAGGTTTTTGGCTTTGGAATTTCTGACATCCCATGTGCATAATGCCATTGCAACTGTTTCCATGATCTCCATTTTCTCCGCAAAAGACTTGTAGCCCGAGTAGTTAAGAATATCATTACACTCGAAATCTCGTGTTTCATTTCTCCTCGCCGGCTTGAATTGATGAAAAGATAAATCATCTCCCTCAATTATTTTCAGTGTTTCCTGTTTTTGTCTTTGGGAAATGGCTAATAATCCTGCAATTGGAACAACTAGACCATCGGCTGGCATTTATGTACAATGATTCACAGTGTTGGGGCACCATAGGTTGAAGAAGAAATAATCTAAACTCCGTGGTAGGGCTCCATGAAAATCTTTCAGAAGCGCAATTTTGTTTTGTGGGATTGGATACAGCTGATCGATCCACAAAACAGGATCAGATCGGTAGTGTGTGCCGGTCGATCAGCTGGTCTCTGATCACACAGAACGGGATTCGACGCCTGAATGACTGAATGCGCCTGTTTTGGACTTGGAACCAAGAGAATGTAATACTTTCACTTGAACAAATCTCAGAGACTCTGACCGTATTTTGCTCCTAATTTTCAATGCCACCCCAAGGAAAAGAAATTATACTATTCAATGGGAACTGTTTAACAAGGTTTTGGAATCAGTTGACTGAATTCTTTGCGTGGGATGCAAGTGCTTTTAGCTAAATATTAATAGGACAGCATAGCATCTCCTTGCTAAGTCAGAATGCTCAAAATTCCCAGTCAAATTGTCTTTGTCTCAATCATTTGCAGTGCCTGAATATCTAAACATCCGGAAAAGCCAACACTACGGCGCAACGGGAAGCGATTTCTACACAAATAGCGCCGGTACTTGAAAGCGAAGGAGAGGCAATTTTTTGTATGAAAATCTGAATCAGGACTCAAAAGAGTTAAAAGTCAGAATTAAAGAGGCTCAGAAGCTGAAGGAAGAGATTAGTCGAGATACAACTGAGCTGAATATAGCTTTTAACGAAAAAGATTGTATGTGTGCAATCTGCATGAAGTTATTTGATTGCATTTCCTAATTCAATCATCAAATACGATCACGAATTAAGAATGTGATATTTTATTGAAATTTATGTATTAACAGTGTGATAGGATTCGGTTGAAAGAACCAAATAACCATGAATGGAGACTCGAATTCAGTTTGGCTATGGCGAGGGAGGAAATGAATATACTGCAACTGTTTCTGCTTCGTTTTGCAAACAAAGCTCATCAAGGAAAACCAATGATGCCCTTCTTGCCGCGAGAAGAGATCTCTAAACATGTAAGAGTTTTACTTATTAGGTACCAGCGCCGGTATGTAAATGTTTCTTGATTATATAGCCTTTTGAGTTTGTTGGAAATGTGATCATGGATTCTGCAGAAAAAGAATTTCCGCATGGTACATGAAACAAACAGTTTGGCGGAGGAAAAGCAGCTTTTGAAAGAGATTGATGAGAGACCGTAGGAGGTTGTTGGTTCATTTCCACCATTGGGAAAAATTCTTATCCTCCGCCTTATTTAGATGTAAGATTAAACAAGAAATTTTAAGTTCTCTTAGAGTTACTCAACTATATAAAGCGTTCTTACCGGTAATAACTTCGTAAATATTCAGCTGAGATAATGAATGTGTTCTTACTGGTAAGAAACTGTGTAAATATTCAGCTCAGATATTGAATGTCTTCTTACCGGTAAGAAGCTGTGCAAATAAAAATGCATGTCATGACTTGTCTTGACACTCTAACCCTCGCATTGTGGCATGCCAAAACATCATTTTTTTGCATCATGACACGCTAACCCTCGCATCGTGGCACGCCAAAACATCGTTTTTGGCATGCGATGACATGTCATGACATGCATTTTGCCAACATTGCGATCTTGGCATGGCTTGTCATGGCTTGTCTTGACACGGCAACATTTTGCTGGCATTTTGCTGACATTTTGCGTGCTTGACTGTAACCCTCATATTGGGGCACGCCAGAACATTGTTGTTGACCACAACATGACAAGCATAGTGAATTGTCGTCTAAATGCATGTCATGACACGTCATGCATTCTCTCTATAAACCCTAATGCTCTGCTTGGTTTCTCATAAAATTTAGGAAACTGAAACTAAGAATTTGGAGAGGAGAGAAAGAGAGGCTTACGTACTTGATCAACGAGTGACGGAGCCCATTTATCGGAGAGAATTCGAAGGAGAATTTCGAAAGCCAACAACGTCTTTATTTCATGGCTTGTCTAGACATGATAACCCTCACATCGTGGCATGCCAGAACAAGCTGGCATCCGATCAACCGATTCTACTTCTAGAATAGCTGAGTGTTGATCCTTGAAGACACCATCAAGTCTGAAAAATGTGCCAAAATAATTTGTACAATTGTGGCACGCCAGCATTTTACCAACACTTTGCCACCTATTTCGAAATAACTTAGATATCGACAATGCATGTTGTGTCAATTGAGACACTTTGCCTACTGTTTCGGAATATTTTAGATGTCGGCAATGCATGTCATGGTGTCCTAATCCCATAATATTCCCATCACATGCCAAGTGCACAAAATGTCAGCAAAATCCATTGCATGACATGTCATCGTATGCCAACAACGATGTTTTAGCGTGCCACAATGCAAGGGTTAGCATGTGAAAGTGTGAGAAAAATGCATGTCATAACAAGTCTCGCAAGTTGTCAATAGAATGCATGACATGTCATGTCTTGACACGCTAACTCTAACACTCGCACCGTGGCATGCCGACATTTTGCTAACACTTTGCCTATTGTTTGGAGTAATTTAGATGTCGACAATGCATGTCATGGCATCCTAATCTCATAAATGCATGTCATGACATTCTCATCATGCCAAGCACGCAAAGCGTCGGCAAAGGCATGCCAACAGAGATATTTTGGTGTGCCACGATGCGAGAATTAAAGTGTCAAAGTGTTAGAAAAATGCATATCAGGCTTGTCTCGACACGCCAAAACATCGTTGACATTTGATCAACCAACTCTACTTCTAGATTGAAGCAGTTGAGTGCCAATTCTTGCTGACACCATCAAATCTGAAAGATGTACAAAAATAATTTGTACAAATGTGGCACACAAGCATTTTGCCAACACTTTGCCTACTATTTCGGAATAACTTAGATGCCGGCAATGCATGTCATGTCAATTGAGACATCAAGGGTAACGGGATGATGAAGCCATTGCTGATTAGGCAAGTGATAATGCTAACGCTAATGCTGCTGCAAATGCTCTTGCCAATTCCAAGGGAACGATTTGGGATTCTTTGAGTTCGAAAAAGAGTTACAAGAACAAATCAAAGTAACATATAAACATAATTCTAACTCATGAAACAGAGTAAAGTTAAAACTTTGAAATTTGTTTCCTACTGACTTTCTGATTTAATTTCTTTACACAATATTGCAGGTAAGCGGCAAGAAGGTTGATGAAGTAACGAATTCACTATTGGCGGTGCCGCCAAAAGTTAAGAAAGTTGAGAGAGAATTGAAGGCCATTGAAAGAGATATAGAATGCTTGAAGAAGAAATTGACACTGATGGATCAAAGGAAAGATGAGGCGTATAGTACTTTAAAGATTCTGTATAATTAAGAAAATGCAGCAGAGACCAATGCCTGCCTTCTACAACCAACAAAACAACGGAGAGATCAACAGAGGTTACACGAATCCGTTACAATTTTATTTTCGCCTCATACGCATTATTATTCAATTACGTTGTTTTTGTTTGATTAATTTACTCTGATGGTCAGAAATAAAGAAATGTGTGTGAAAATCAGCTCTTTACTTTAAAGCTAATAATAATGAGGAGTTCAAACTTGAGATTTCATTCACTAGTTGGAATAGAAAAACATTACATCCCGTTCAAATTTACATTACATTAATGTGTCACAGCATGGTCTTGTTGAGATTGAACCTCTGGTATGGTATTAGGAGGTGTTACTTGGGACAAATTGTCAACCTGAACTAATCACAACAATACAACGTCATTGTCAGCAACAAGAGTTTGGTTTTTGACCCTTCAACCAACCATGAACAAGTCACAAACTTCAATTCTCCAGTTTCTCATTTGTTATTTTGTGTTTGTTAATTTTTTTTCACCTTACAATGATTTTCTTTACAGTAATTTTTTTATTCACCAGATTTCTTCGACATCACGATATTTTATTATGAACTATTCTAATTTATGATGAGAAATAATGTGTGCTTATCATTTTTCTTCAAAAAAAAAAAAATGTTAACTTGGGGTTTGGGTTTCCTTCATACGACATGTAGCTTTATGCTCACTACTGAAATTAAGAATATACCGGAATAATAGGGTCACAAATACAAATATCTTACCCTAAATTTAATTTTAAGAACAGATAATTAGATAAAAACTAATCTCCCTCTCTCCAACGCGCATTTTCTGTAATTAAATTCTTAATTCTTTAATCCCTGGACGTTTGCCAGAACTGTTTTGCTGTTTTGTCCCGAACAAATCATCTTTATAAATCTAAACCCAAAACCAAAACAGTAACGCAAAACCAAAATCAAAGATTCAATTTTTACTGTTTTTAGAGAGGGAGAGGGAGAGGGATGTGGGAGTCGATCTTCCTAACGCTGGCGGCGACGGCCGGAAACAACATCGGCAAAATTCTCCAGAAGAAGGGCACCGTCATTCTTCCTCCTCTCTCTTTCAAGCTCAAGGTAGGTACTCCTTCATTTCTTTTTGGTTTGCCCATTTTGCCCTTATTGATTCTGTGATTGCTGTTCGAATCCCAATTTGTAATTTTGGATTTGGATTCCGGTATTTCGTTTCCAACTGGGAATTGGGTTTCGTTTCAAATTCCCAAATTTTCAGGATTTACAACAAAATTTCAAAATTTTGAATGTTGTATATGTTTGCAGGTGATCAGGGCGTATGCGTTGAACAAAGCATGGCTGATAGGATTTATGATGGATATATTCGGAGCTTTGTTAATGTTGAGAGCATTGTCTTTAGCTCCTGTAAGTGCTTCAACTCCGAAGCTAGGATTTTTCCATTGTTTATTGTTTCGATTTTTGGGATTTTTTTTTCTTTCTGCAATTTGTTTACGTACTTGGTGATTGGAATTAATGTTGTGCTACATTTTGGTGAATGTTGGATGATGTATTTTTCAGGTGTCTGTCATACAACCGGTTTCCGGGTGTGGACTTGCAATTCTTTCAATCTTTTCCCATTTTTATCTGAAGGAAATGATGAATGCTGTTGACTGGATGGGGATTACATTAGCAGGCATTGGCACTATAGGTAATGTAAGTTCTTCACAATGCTTGAAAATTCAGTTGTCTTCGCTGGGAACTGTTGCATTACTTTTGATTGTGTGTTTTGTTTTAAGAATAATTTGTGTGAGATTTTGTATTTGCAGGGGTTGGTGCCGGAGGTGAGGAGCAAAAGGCTTCCACAATATCGGTGTTTCATCTACCATGGTTGGCAATTGTAGTCGCCTTCTTGTTTGTAGGTACCTTGTACCGTGCATCATCTGATGTTTATAGTTGGACACTTGGGTTTATGCAGTGTAATGATTCTAACCCTGCAAGACCTCTTTAAATAGGTCCTCCTTAATGGGTGGCTACGCATCTACAGACGTCAACGCAAAGAACAGGAGTTGGTAAGCTGATTACTTCGTTTCATCTATCTTTAGTGTTTGAGTATGGTGCCCACTACAAGTTCACTGATACCTGCTCATGGTACAGATGGAATATGAAGTTGTTGAAGAAATTATATATGGCTTGGAATCTGGCATTTTGTTCGGGTATGATCCTGTCCAGCATGTTTCTGATCACGATTCACATATAGATTCATCTCTTTCATCTTTCAGTTCTAGGAGGGAAATTATTAAAAAGCATATAATGAGTTATAGTGTGCATGCTAGTTGATGTCAATGATGTGTTGAGCATGTCAGTTGTGTGTACTTTATGTTACAACGTAGAAAGTTTTAAGTCTTGTTGATTTAAATCATGAAGCTGCTGTTGTTGTCAAGCCATGTTTAAAATTATAATGCAATTATCACATATCTTATTGCAGGATGGCATCTGTGATATCAAAGATGGGATTTGTGTTCTTGGAGCAGGGTTTCCACAGCATGCTGGTCCCGATATGTGTGATAATCAGCATATGTTGTAGTGGTACAGGGTTTTATTACCAGGTATGTTAAGCACTTTACCAAGTTCCTAGTTTCATATCCATGTGCTCACGTAAATTGAATGTCGGTCCCATGAAATAAATTTGTAGTTTCATAAGTTGGTTATTGTCGTTGTTAATGAGTTATTTCTTTTGACAGACTTGGGGCTTAAAGCATGGGAGGGCAATAGTAGTGTCTACATGTGCTGCTGTGGCATCAATTGTGACTGGTGTACTAGCTGGAATGCTTGCTTTGGGTGAAAGATTGCCTTCAGCACCAACAGCTCGTCTTTCACTGATGCTTGGATGGTAAATTACAATAACTATACTGACTATTTTTTATTCTTGACTTGTTTTTATTAAAAACTTCCTAAACGTATGGTGTATGCGGCATGATTCATCAGCTACCATGCTTCATTTAGGAAACCTGACTATCACTTCTTGAAACTTTTTTTTTTTTTTTTTGATTGCATCCCTATACAGTTTTCAAAGTTATTGTATTGTTCTCCTCATTCTCATTCTCAAATTGCAAAAACTCTTTTCTCATTGTTTGAAGTGCTCAAATAAGGATTTTTGCTGTGAAGTTTACTCCAAATTATTTTCTACCACAGGTTACTCATAATTATTGGTGTGATTTTACTTGTGAGCTCAACACGACTGATGCGACGCCTTCCTCGACCATTACGACAACTTTTAAAGAGTGGTGTTGATCAGAGGAAACCCGGGTCTATCCGTGTTAGGGATGGAAGCCCGAGCACCGTTATTCAGGCAGCAACTCTGCATCATTTGATACCAACTGCTTCAAAAGAGAAGGCTTGATGTGATCACATCGGAGAGGTTGTATATGCAAAAAAGATCTCATATCGGTGGACTTACAAGTTACGGGAAGCAACTCCCTTTGGTTTAGGTAAAGCTGGTGTATAAAGGGTATTCTTACTATATCAGAGGCCATGAGTTTTTGACATCATTCCTCTCAGGAAAAAACTTTACACCGTATTTTGTGAACATTTGGTAGTCGTACATCTCAATTTTTATTACTCGTTCGTTTTCACAAAAAATGGTGCACCTTTTCAATTGCAATGCCTGCTTTTGTTTCGAGGAGTACTCTCAAATAGCACCCAAATCTTGTCGATATTATTTGAGGGCTCTCCCTCTTCTTTTTGTTTCTTTAAGAACATTATTGTGATATTTCCTGTAGTACAGGCAAGCCCAACTACGATGATAAGGACAATAACGCCGAAAACAAGACATGAAAACTGAGCAGAGAGAAATAGTTGCCGTAGGACCCAAGTAAATAGATAGTTGCCTCTACATTCACTTCGTGGGACGACCCCTTTACCCCCATTTCACACCGACACACACCCATTCTCTAGGGTTTAGGTCTTTCTTGTTATTCATGACATAACACTAGCATCTCTTGAGGTCCACCATTACTTGGACTAGAGCAATCAACCACTATCGATGAGAAAGCATTATAAATAAACAAAAAAACCCAACACAACTAGGATGGGACACATTGTGTGCTCTGCTAGGGCACCATGTGTCATGTCACTCACGAGTTGTAGTTGCCCTACTTTCTTATTTGTAGGGAAACTAATCATAGACAGCCCTACATGTGGGAAGTCACTGTGCAGTATTTTAGACCGATAATAGATCATCTTCTCTCTCTCTTTCTGTCTAATCCTCTTTATTTTTGATATTTGGATTAAATAAATAAAAAAAGAATCACAACTAAAAAATAAACAGTATTGTGCATAAGGAGAAAATGTGCGTACAAAGGTCATTCCCTATTGTTAATTTTATCCCATAACGTGATGTTTTTAGCTTAAGATACTATTACAATAACGCCTATTGTATCAAAGATGTAGATAAGTCTTCTCCCTCAGTTGGCTATTTCCTAAGCATTGCATGTGAGTTGTAGTTTGGCACTTCCATACGTGCAAATGCCAACCTTTACCCAAAAAATTACAAATATGAAAGGGATCTTCTAGAGTATTTGAGTGACATATCATATGGTTTTGCCTCCATGATTGTACTACTCTGTTTTTATTCTCTACAGGGCAGAGTTCAGTAACCAAAATAGCCAAACACAAGGAAGAGAGAGAGAGAGAGAGAGAGAGAGAGAGAGAGAGAGAGAAGGGGCCCAAAGGAATGGATACCTCTCTGCCAAAAGCAATTGATAATTTTCAAGTACAATTATTTTTTGACAAGACAATATATGTTCTAAAATACTCTGATTTACGGGAAAAAAAATTATAACATAGATGGAAGGGAGCGGACACATTTCTCCCGCATCTTCGAAAATGACAAGACAGTAGCTTTGGGAGATTTTCAGTCTTCAAATTATGACTTGTAGACCAATTAATTCTGGCAAGAGCCACTTTGTGGGACCTTGCAGAATTCAATGATTTAATACAGAAGCTGTGATTCTTAACTTAACTATCATTTCATATCATTAGTATAAATTTTTGTATTAATTATTGCTCCTTATGGGAGAATGCAAGCTACAGAAAATAAGTTTTAGGATGCCTAAGTTCTGCACTATTTGGAACTGTAAATAATTTCCTTCCATTTCAATCGACCAAGAACGAAAGTATGCAACGAAAGACTCTGGATGAATTCACTTGAAATCGAACTAGCACTACGAAAAAGTAAATGGAATGGAGAGGTCCATGGCCTCATAGAAATGATTTCTTCCACACAACTCAAGTATTGATGAATCACAGCAGGAATTAATCTAGGTGAAAGAATTATCGTCAATAACAGTTGCACCTTGCGCTTTCATGGCTCCGCGTTTACCAAGTTGTTTCATTTGCCAGCTTTCATGAGAAGCAATATGTTCATGGGAAGGAGTGTATTGCTGCCAAAGTAAACATTGAAGATTTATTAAGGCTTCTGTTTTGTTTTGGAACCCAGAAACATATATTCCATGAAGAAACGAGTAAGCTCACTCATCGACAGGAAAGAAAAGTCAGGTTATAACTATACCTCCATCTTCTCAACAAGTTCTTTGGCTGTTGGAGCAGAGAGAACTATATGCCGAGCACCTGGCTTGATGAATCCTTCTTCGACACCATTGTCAAATAGCGCAAGCAAGGCATTATAGTACCCATCTACATTAAGCAAACCAACCTGTATGGAGTAATATTCAAGTTTCAAATTTAATTAGTAGGAAGCTAATCATAACATTTTCAATAACGGAAACTGATGCATTACCGGCTTCCTATGAATCCCAAGTTGCGCCCATGTTATTATCTCCAACAGCTCTTCCATAGTTCCGTATCCTCCTACAACCAAAATTAACAATGTACTAAGCATAAGAATTGTAATTTATAAAGTTTTTAGTGAGAATTTGAAATGTAATTACCAGGAAGAGCAATGAAGGCATCAGCCTCTTGAGCCATCAAAGCTTTGCGTTCATGCATGTCTGTAACTGTTCTTACTTCTCCAACGGATGGACCAGATATCTGTCAAAGTTATCCATAAAAGTCTACCACATAACCATTTGAACTTATCTTTTAAAACAGAGAACTAAAACTGAGATAATAAAAGACCACGAGCAAATTTCTTTCCTGGATCCACTAAGAATGTGCACGATGACCCATTTAAAATGCGAAAACATCACATCAACTATTTTCAAGAATTAAGGGGAAAAAACAGCATGAAATCAATCATGAATGGTCGTATTTACAAATGACGAGAGAAGGCGAGGATGAGATCAGTATATGGATATATAGAGATACCTCAAGCGGCATGAGAGCTTTCGGAATGACCCTGCAAGTAAAAAGCAGGAAAGATTTTACTTAAGTGACATTTTTTTGTTCAACAAAGACATTGTTTGCATTGATATTATGATGTAAAAGACCAAATCATACTATAATTCAAAGCAAAAGTTTCGTTTATACATACCCAAGAACATGGCAACCTCCATCATACACCGTCTGCGATATCAAACCCATCAACCCGACACTTCCCCCGCCATACACCAAATCTATCTTCCTTTTCACCTGCAATATCCACCAACAAAGTAAACAAGTAATTCCCAGATCATCCTTTAGGGGAAAATAAAGCATTGTAAACAAAAGAGCATAAATTCCTTATTCAATGTATCTGCATAAAGATATACACTTTGCAAAAGTGCTTAATATTCCTGACCAGAAATCACAGAACAAGAGTAGTCCCACTGTAGAATGGCCTATTTAGCAAACAGAACAAACCAGGTTCGAGGAGAAGAAACTTCCACAAAACATACCCCAAAACCCCAATCCGTCCTCTCTCTTCCCCATCAGAAGAGAGATATAGAGAGAAGGGGGTATCGAACAACACATGATGGGTAAGTTTTTCTCCGTTTGGAGACATTACGTAGCCATTTTGACAACTCTAAAATACAAAAACCCAAAACAATCCCATTACCAAAAAAAACACAAAAACCCATCAAAATACAACTCAAGGTGGATTTAAACTCATCAAAGATTACATCTTTAAACCAAAAAACCAGCACTTAAACAACAATAAACACGATTAAATAAAGATAAGCAAAGAGAGTGTAAGAATAGAACAAAAGCAGGCATACCAGTTCATTGCCCAACTCCAGAGCAGCGTCACTAAACACTTTCCTGCGGCCAGAGTTGCTTCCACAGAACACACAAATCCTCCTGAACTGGCTGCGTTTGCTCTCTTCCATTCACAAAGTCCGCAACTTTTTTATACTTTTTGTGGTCAATTCAGCATCACTTATGAAAAAAAGAACTGAACCCAAGAAAAACCAAGACAAATGGGTAAGTTTTATGTAGATTATATGTTATTTTAACAGCAAAAGCACAGAATTTTATGCAGAATCGATGGAGGAAGAGAAAGAGAGAGCATACGAGACGGGTTCTTTGAAAGGACAAATGGGTTGACCCTAAAATTGGTATAAAATCAATCAAATTCTAGAGCTTGATGGCTTTTAGGCAATCTCCAACCGAATGGTCCAGAGGGCCAGTGGGCCGAAAATAGTCCGAAAATCGTATCCAACTGAGGGCTAGGCCAGAGGGCTCTAGAATCAGGGAGGGCCCCACGGAATCGGAGAGGGATGGAGGGCTGGCTGCCAGCCAGCCAGCCAGCCCACCCGGGGATGGCTATTTTTTTTTTTAATGTTTTGTTAATTCTGTCGGTTATAGCCAGCAAAAATAATATATATATTATATTATTAGTGTCGGTTATAACTGACACTAATAACAATGTTAATATAATATCAGTTTGAACAGTATCGGTTAAAACCGACACTAATTTGAATTCCAACGGCTAGCCAATCACTAGCCGTGGTATTCAAATTTTTTTTTTGTTTTTATGAATTTAAACCTTTTTTTTTCTATAACTTCCTATAACTTTTTTTCTATAACTTATATTTTACAAAATTTGGCTCATATTTTTTTTTAAATTCCATTTTTTTCCTATAACTTCTATTTCACAAAATTTATTTCATTTTTTTTTTAAATTCCATCATATTGGCATGCGTCATCGCTCAGTTTCGTGGTTTGTAAGAGCGACTAGCAATAGAGCCACCCCATTGAGGTTGTTCCTCAGTTGGCTGACACAACATGGCTGCTGCTATGCTTTGTTTGTTGCGCCTTACTTGAACTTCTTCATCAGACTCCTCATCTTCTCGTCTCATTTGCGCCAATTTTGCTTCTCTTTTGGAATTGGATGAGGACCCCCAGTTGGAATCTGAAGAGAATCCAAAGTTGGAATTCATTGCAAACTTGAATTCAAAGTTGTGTGAATTATATCCCAATATCCACCCTATTTATAGCAAAAAAAAATTCAAATCCAACGGCTAGCTGACGTCACTTAGCCATTGGATTTGAATTTAAGTTGTAGTTTTTAAATAATAAATTATGTTTGGCCCTATGGCCCTCAGTTGGAGACGGTTTTTTGTGATAGGACTAAAACGAGTCATCTGGCCCTTTGGCCCTCGGTTGGAGACGAAGGCAAATATGGCCATGTACTGTTCATTAAAATATTAATATCTTGGAGAATCTTGAAGGGCCAGAGGGCTAAAACGAGCCATTTGGCCAGCCATCGGTTGGAGATAGCCTTATATATCCGGTAAGTGTAGCAAGGAAGACCCACATGCTTCATTTCCTTTCTAATCCGACTGTCTTTTTTTCGATAATTATTTACATGAAACAAATTTATTATTATCAAGTAACAATTGAATTGTTTTGTTAACTGTTTTTTTTTCCGATAATTATTTACATGAAACGAATTTATTATTATCAAGTAACAATTGAAGTGTTTTGTTAAATAAATCTGATGCCCAGATTCTAATCTCATATTTGAGAACTTGAACTATCGGAAAGTTCGTCTAATTATACACATGGAGAGAAATTTACAAATGTTATTATCTTTTTTTTTTGGTCAATAATTAAGCGAGATTCTGATGGGAAAATGGAGAAAAGAGGGTTGGGGTGCCTCGAATTTGGGTGAGGGCTACAACGATGCTTGATCGCTAATGCAGCACTAGTCGTCCTCTACTCATGTTATCATCTTAACAAATCTAAACGTTACATGACAGTAAAGTCGTCCTACTTAAATTGCTTTCATATTTGTGACTTAATTAATAATTTTAACAAAAAATGAAATAATCTCATAAGTAGAAAATTATCATAGTAGATAGAGGATTTTTTTTTTTTTTTTTTTTTTATGAATCTCAAATTCAAATCATCTACATCACTTTTGTGAGTAGTTTAGTGTAGAAGAGTTGAATTTAAAATTAAAAAAAAAGAAATAAAATCTTTGTTTTTGTCTGTCAAATCAAATAAAATAATTAGAATTAATATTGGTGAAGATTTGGGAAGGCGGATTAGTCCAGACTCATTGTTAATTAATATTAATACTCCCACTATTCGTGGCCTTTATGGTTGAACAATGATTGTTTATTTTTTTCCCAAACTCAATGATTGTTTATTGAATTAAATCCCTTTTTTAAATGGATATCAATTTTGTCAATCGTGTGTTTTGTGTTTGTTGTATACCAATAACTTCGTACGACGTGAAATAACATGTAAGCATAACAGTGAATTAACTTGTCTTTTCACTTAAATTTTTATTGTCCGAACATGAATCTCATAATTAGAATCCCTTATTTTATTTATCATTTAAATATCACATATGTTGATGCACAAAATCAGTAAGAACTTTGGTACAACAGAAAGTGTTAAGTTTGTGACATTCGTTAGATTGCTTCGGTCACTAGTATGGATAAGTATGTAAATGAATGGAGACAGGGAAGCAAACACAAGATGTACGTGGTTCACCCAGATTGGCTACGTCCACGGAGTAGAGGAGTTCTCATTAATTGTGAAGGGTTTACACAAGTACATAGGTTCAAGCTCTCATTTAGTGAGTACAAGTGAATGATTTAGTACAAATGACATTAGGAAATATTGTGATAGAATGATCTCTATTTATAGAAGAGAGTTTCTAGTTTCATTCTGACATTGACACGTGTCGTGTTGTGATTGGCTTCTGATGTTAACACGTGTCGCGCTGTGATTGGCCTCCTGGTTGGATGGAAACTCTTCTGGGTCTTTGACGGTATAACGTTGACCGGTGCTCAGTAGTTTCAGGATTGGTCAAGTATGGTACAAACAGTGCTCCCCTAAGTTCCCGAGTGAGGGAAGCTCATCGGTTGGGAACTTGCAAGATCCAAGTCATTGAGTAATCACGAAACTTCTAAGTACCGAAGTGTGATATCATTTTCACTTGCCTTATCTGTCTCATATGTAGATGTGGCATCTTCTCTGGAAATATTTTTCCTCCATCCAGGGATGGTATCTTTAGCCGATGAAGATGCACTAGGTAATGTATCAATTTCACTTGAAGCTTACTTGTAGTTTCGGGCTTGGTCAAGTGCGATACAAACCCTATAGTAGGAGTCTCCCAAGTTGCCGAGCTAGGAGATTTGCCGAATGAGGTAACAGACAAGGTAAACAATCAGACTTCCAAGCAAGCAACCTGGATCAGAGGTTCGACTTCGGCTTCCGGTTGATTGTTCTCCTTCTCCTTGTGTCGTAAATAGCACCAAAGATAAGGAGAAGCAAATGGTGAAGAGATGATATGAGATACTTTTGTTTTTGTAGAAGTAACTTTCCACAAACTTATTCTTGAACTGGGTTGGAGGGTTTTCTGGTTTCCTCCAAAATATAAGGACAACTCAAGAATTTGAGGGTCAAAACAAATCGATCAAATCTAGAGTACGTTCGACCCTGATGATATGGGATACTTTTGTTGTTGACAAAGTAGTGGATGTATCGGAACGTGTTCTGTTACGCTTATCTCCACATGCTTCCTTGTACCTTTCTCACTTGCCCTATTTGTTCCTCAGGCAGATGTGGTATCTTCTCTGGAAGCATAAGATGTTGAAGCTGAGTACTCGAGAGCAATGCCAGGTAAGTAATCAGGTAAGGGGTTCCAGGCAGTCAGTTTTTAACTGGAAGCTTGATTCCAAGTGCTGACTGATTGCTCTTTTTCTCCTTGTCTTGCAGGTAAGAACAATGCCAAAGGAAAAGATTGGGAAAAAGCATGATATGAGATACTCTTGCTTTTAACCCTGATGATATGAGATACTCTTGCTCTGGTGTGGCTTGTTTGTAGATGTATTATCGGGAGGAAAAGAAGCTGAGTATTTCGAAAGACTCTGCTGAGAATGTCCTTTCGGATGTTAAGAAAAGTTGAGCATTTTTTTTTATTTGCAGGTTTGCCTGGCTGTGGAGGATGAAGGTCGACATATATAGAAGTCTCCCTAACAACAAGTAGTAGTGTTATTCATTTACCCTTTTTGGTCATAGCAATGTAGTTGGAGTTGCAAGCTTCATATGTTTTAACTTTGTCAAAGCACTTTGAAAAAGTGGTCTGTGGTATCTGGAAAGCTAATGTTGCGTGTGAAGATTGTAGACAAGCTTTATCTAAGGAAATCTGGCTCTCGAAGTTCGGAGAGCGGTGCCTCTTCAATTTTCGAACAAGCAATCCTGTCGGGGATCTGGCTCTTAAAATTCAGAGAATGGTGCCTCTTTGATTTTTAAGAAACCAATCTTGTTGGGAGTTTGACTCTTGAGATTCGGAGAGTAGTGTCTCTTCGATTTTTGATAAAGTAATCATGTTGGGAGTCTGGCTCTCGAGATTCGGAGGGTAATGCTTCTTCGATTTTTGAGCACGTAATCCTGTTGGGAGTCTGGCTCTCGAGATTTGGAAAGCGGTGCCTCTTCGATTTTTGAGAAAATAATCCTGTTGGGAGTCTGACTCTTGAGATTCGTAGAGCAGTGTCTCTTCGATTTTTGAGAAAGTAATCTTGTTGGGAGTCTGGCTCTCGAGATTCGGATAGCAGTATCTCTTTTATTTTTGATAAAGTAATCATGTAGGGAGTCTGACTCTTGAGATTCGGAGAGCAGTGTCTCTTCGATTTTTAGAAAGAAATCATGTTGGGAGTTTGGCTCTCTGGATTCGGAGAGCAGTGTCTCTTCGATTTTTGATAAAGTAATCCTGTAGGGAGTCTGACTCTTGGGATTCAAAAAGTAGTGTCTCTTCGATTTTTTAGAAAGTAATCATGTTGGGAGTCTTTCTCTTGAGATTCGGAGAGCAGTGTCTCTTCGATTTTTGATAAAGTAATCATGTTGGGAGTCTGGCTCTTGAGATTCGGAGGACGGTGCCTCTTCGATTTTTGAGCACGTAATCCTGTTGGGAGTTTGGCTTTCGAGATTCGGAGAGCTGTGCCTCTTCGATTTTTTAGCAAGCAATCTTGTTGGGAGTGTTTTCTCAAATGTGAGTAAAGGTTGGACATTTTTGCCAGTCTGCCTTGCCACGGAGCA